GAAGTGTCCGTATTGTGGACGGATTATCTTTGCCAAATTTTGAAATAACTTTAGTCTTTAAGACGCCGAAAAATGTATCCGTCTCGGACTTTTCTGAAAAAAACTCATCAAACAAATCGTCATGGTCAGCATCGAATATGCTTTCCAAAAATGACTCAAAAGAATCAATAGCTCTTTCGCAAACTTCGAATTGTTTCTGAACCTTATTCTTACAACTGTCAGAATCTGGTTCGTCTAAATAATTTTGCAAAATGGTAAGTTGTTTTTTTAAATATGAGCGTTTGTTTTTTAATCGCTGCAAATCTTCAATTAGAGTTGCGCTTAGCTCCAAACTTGAAACTGAAAGTTGTTCTTTTTTATTCGGCACGGTAAAGACAGGTACGTGTGATAAGGAAATAATAATGTAAAAAAAGGAACGATCTGACCTTATGTTGATGCGTATTCGTTGGTGCTACTGCTAGTGATGAAGTAAACTCTTGCAACTTCCTAATCACTCGTGAAGAATAAAGCCTGGGACTTATCGTGCTGTTGGATAGAACTTCTGGTGATAACGAGACGAGGACGAGATGTTTAGTTGGCCGGTATCTTCGTAGTGGCCTTGCGTGACTGCAACACCTGGACGGCTATCTTGATGCGAGAAACTAAACAATATACGAGCAAGAGCGAGAACGAGAAATACACTTCGCGTAATGATTAACGCTTATTACAATTGTAATAAGTAATACAAATCCGGCTCGTTAGGATCATGTTTTGCTGGTTCAATTCGTGTTGTGAGTTGGCGTGGCCCCCTGGGGTCGTTGGTGCGGTGTGTTCGTAATGAGTACGCCACTGGATGGTCAAAAAGGTTTATTTACATATATACATCTTAATTATAATTGGGGCCAAAAAGGGCACAGTTGTAACGGAGTTCTAATAAAGGTTTCCGCGGGTCGTCTTCGCTGATTTCCCAAGGTGGAACGTTGGCATACGCCAATGACGTGGGAGCCAGGCATAAACGGTACTTCTTCTCCGGTGTTGGCGACGGTGGCAGAGGGCTGATCGGTGGAGGTATTGGCGAGCGCCGGAGAAAACGGCGGACTGCGTTCTGCAAGCGTTTTCCTTCTGCGTGGTGCCTTCCGGTCATCGGAGTCCTCTTGGGTACGTCGCCTGCGGCTACCGTGAAGGTGGTGGGCTCGCTATGGTGAGCAGAGCTAGAGATCTTTCGCTATGGTGAGCAGAAAAACTTCTCTCCTTTGTCTCTCGATTGTTGCGGCTTTTATACAACTTGGGATCCTTTTGCACGCGCTCCCTGGGGTGCGATCACGTGCGCATCCCTTGCTTAGTGCGGTGTTTCACGTGATCGACAACCCTTACTCACGCCGTTGACGCGTGCTTGTGTTGCTGTTTCTTTTTCAGGGGCGTGCGGATTACAGTGGTGGCGTGTACACCACAGTGTATATTGTTAGACGATTACAAATCAAATCATACATTCCACATTCTCTTTCCACAAAAATAAAATAAATTGAACTGCGCAAGGCAAGGGAAAACCAAATAAATTTAAAGTTTTGTACAACCCCCATGTGCCAAACATTTTAGTGTCATTGCCAATCTTAATTTTGGAATAAGGAACTCCCTCCTACTACGTTTTAATAATTTATGTTTGATCATTTCGAGTAACATATCGAAACATGCTGGAGTCATTCTTGTATATTTGAAAAACATCTCATGATCCGATGTGTACATGTGATTGAAAATATTGTAACGGAAACGCTCCAGACATGACGTCGCCCACGTTATTCGTTCAGAACTGTCAATTCCTTGTATATTTCATTCTTTACTGTCTGTACACGATGAGCAAGGTATTGTCAGAATCTTTAATAGTACACTGGTAGAGTTTCAAGTCTAATTCAAAGTTCTTTTGTTCCTAAAATTTGTTATTCGTCAGAATCAGTAACTGAATCACTAGCTGGGGTCAATGCAAGTCCAATAGAAATCCTAGGTAAGTTTAAGAGTGTTATAAAAATTGCTGATATGTCTTTTGATGTTAATTTATGTGTGGTACCTGACAAAACTATGAGTCATGGAATGTTGCTAGGTAGGGATTTTATTAAATCATCCAATGCGGAGATAACTGTCGGACCCATGGGTGTTCAAATCAAAAGAGGAAATCTCTCATGTGTTAAAGATGATGCTTTAGAAATTTTGAATATTAACTATCTTTCAGAAACCGAATTGGAATCTCGCAGTTTAAAAATTAATCTCGAAATCGATAAAGACTCAAAACTTAAAATAGTGTCACTTTATAGAGATTATGAGACACACTTTGATAATTTAAGTACCGATGATGACTTTGAAATGACAATTTCCCTTAAGCACGATCAACCCATAACCTTTAGACTACGGAGACTTTCATTTTCTGAGAAAGAAAAACTTCAGTTAACTTTAAATCAGTTAATAGAGGAGGGAATTATTCGTCCTAGTCAATCTCCTTATGCTAGTCCGATCGTATTAATTCGCAAGCGGGATGGGGACATTAGGCTCTGTGTTGACTACAGGAAATTAAATAAAATAACCATTAAGGATAATTTCCCGACTCCACTTATCGAAGATCACCTAGATCGATTAAAAAATAAAACCTATTATACATCTTTGGACCTAAAAACTGGTTTTATCATGTAAAGATAGCAAAAGATTCGGTTAAATATACCTACGTCGTTTATAACACCCATTGGACAATTTGAATTTTTACGGATACCCTTTGGGCTTACGAATGCCCCGCGTCGTGTGTTTCAACGGTATATCCACAAAATATTTGGCGATTTAATTCAGGATAGTACCATTTTAGTTTATTTTGATGACGTATTAATAGCAACCGAAACAATTGAGGAGCACCTATCAATTTTACACGAAGTTTTAGGCGATCGCCCATGTAAACCCGATTTTCAACCGAGCCGAGTGACTACCGGTTGTTCAACTAGAAGTTGCCTGGCTACTTTTGGTGGAACAACTCGGTCGTTTCAACTCGCAGTCGACCGTCTAAACACTCGAGAATTAGTTGACAATCGATTCAAACAGATAAATCATTAAATTTATAGATCTTTATGAACAGAATGAATGTCTGTGGAACAATTCTAGTGACTCATATTAAAACTGTAATTTGAAGAAAACGGCGATAGACGGAATAATACAAGAAATGAATTTGGAGGGATTGACAGTTGCTGTTGTGAAAGAAAAAATGAATAATTATAATAATAATGCTCTTTATTTTGCAAACAATGCTAACATTACACTGTATAGCAAAAGGTGTCAAAGAAAATTTAAGCAGGTAAATTAACCACAATTGATGATGTTACACGTAAAATTTCTTTACGTTTCACTAGGCGCCATTTTGAACGATAGGAATGTCGGCCGACAACGCTTAAAATGTAAATCTTTTTATCGAACGACCTCAGATCGATCAACTCGATCGACCGATCAGAAGTTGACTAATGTAAACGCCGCTTAAGAGAACAACAGACAGAGAATCAAGATTACACAGTTACGAATTAGAACTTTTAGCTATAATTTATTCACTCGATAGATTTCATGAATATTTACAAGGAATCCATTTTAAAATTATAACAGACTGTAACTCAATTAAGCTCGCACTCAATAAAAAAGTAATAAACCCAAAAATTAATCGTTGGGCACTATCTCTTCAAAATTATAATTATGAGTTAATCCATCGTGAAGGAAATAAAATGAAGCATGTTCATGCATTGTCTCGTGTGCATAACATACCTGTACTGCAAGAAAACACGTTTGAATAAAATTTATCGGTTTGTCAAAATTTAGACGATGACATTATAGTTATTTATGCATCAAGGGCATTAAGGCGATATTTATGCAAAGGGCGACAGAGCCCGAGGGCCTCCGGCCCGAGGGTTAAATATTGAGTAATGCGTGAGGTGCATACAACATTTTATTTTTCATCGTTCCAAAGAATGCATTTCCAATATACAAATATCATGATTATTGTTTGCCCAACATTAAAGTGCTTCATACGAATCAAGTTGCATCTTTTTTATTACATAATATAACCCCGTCAATCAATTTGACAGGCCATTTGAGGATTGGATTGTCATCTCATTATGCCCTTGGGCGTAATAGACTGCTTCATATATCACATACGAGTATGACAGATATAATTGACATATAATAGGCAAATGAAAAATAGAGTATTTCGATAAAAATCATAAAAAGCCTTTTATTTATAAGGAAGGAGATTTTGTAGTTATAAAAAATGTTAATACCAACCAGGTGTTAATAAAAAGCTTTTAATTAAATATCGAGGTCCTTATACGGTCAAAAAGGTCTTGGGTAATGATCGATATTTAATAACCGATATTGAAGATTTCCAAATTACGAGATTACCATTTGAAAGTGTTTGTGGACCCGACACAATGAAGTTGTGGCTTCACGACAATTAAACTTTAAATTTAAAAGCTATCGATTTTGACTTAATAACTAATTATGACATTTTATGCTGACTTAGATTTGAAACTTATAATACTTATGAATTACTTATGCACTAAAATTATGAAGTTATGTGTTATGACCTTTAGTGAAACTTATGCTCTAAATTATGTGATTTTTGAATTTATGAAACTTATGTATTATGTACTGAACTTATGCCTTATTAATTAATTAATGCCTTATGATGTGAACTTGTATGCATTTATGTTAAAATTTATGTATTTATGTAGAAATTATGACTATTTTGAATTATGTCTTAGTAGGTATATCTGGTTGTGACAAATACTTTATGTAAACTGACATTTCATTGTATTTGACCCTAGACTTAGGATTTCATTTGTTTATATTTGTGTGAAATTTTTGCATAGTTTGTAAGGACAATAGGTATGAGTGATCGAGGACGATCTCTTGTTAGGATGGCCGAGTTGTAGTCGATTGCACTCGGACAGAGTCGATTACCTCGAGGTGGTCTGCTCTTAACTTGTGGTAGATGAATACACTCACAAATCACATACGGATAGATTGGTATCTTATATGGAAGAGAATGGAATACAATTTTTTTGGTTCGAGACTTAACTAAAGATAGCCCTTGCAACCGACAGGGTACTCTGAAAGAAATGCAACAGGTTAGGGTCTCCAGTTTCACCACGTGATTATGATTCTAACCGCAAATTACGTGTAATCATTGTGCGAATGCGAATTTTATTTTCGGCGTTGTTGTGCATTTTTGATTCGTTCTCAGATTTTTGTGAAATAACCCGTTCTTGAATAACATTTGTAAATAAACATAGTGCACTAGAACTTGCAGGTGTAAATACATAGGAAAACATTACTGTTTCGTAAATTGTAAATAAATAACTTGAACTGTTTACTGTTCGAAGTATTTGTGTAGTTGTGAAAAATATAGTTGTGTCGTGTATATTAAAGGTTGAATTAATTATAAGTGTTTGGTGTTTTGATATTAATGTAAATAGGTAAGTCCACTTTTCGAAATAGTATATTCCTTAAACATCTTACTGTTTTAGTTGTTTAGTGCGTCGCAGCGTAATGGACCTTCCATATATAAAGTACAAACTCAAGTGCTGTGTACCTGGCTGTACTGACAAAACTAGTAAACGCCATCGATTCCCTAAAGATGTACAAATGTTGCGGAAATGGGTTGAAGTTATACAGAATTCCGCACTTATGAGCCAGGAGCCATATACAATTTATAAATCTTCTTATGTTTGTGATCGACATTTTTCCCAAAAATATCTAGTACCTGGTACCAGAAGAGGGCTATCACGAATTGCTGTACCTACACTGTATTTAACAGGTATTTTACATTCATTTGTTTTTACAACAATGAAGTACCACTGTATGTATTTGTAGCATTTCCTGATGTAATGTCTACATCTGCCACAAGCATTTGTTCAACGTCTGGGGCAACCTCTACATCTGCAGCAATATTTTCAATGGATACGAGCGTCTGTGTAGGTTCCATTGCTGACACGGACCAATATTCCACCAGCCAGTCATTAGATAATGCTCAGAAAGTGTCATCAGTAAGACAAGATCCAAGTATGTATGGAGTGTATACAATTTGATGGATTAACACAGTTGTTTATTAATAGGTATAATGGAGTCTATTTTTATACCCGACATTGATACACCAACAACTTCAACAACGATCGCCATGAAAGAACCAGAACCGTCTATTAAAGTTTCCAAAAGAAGACGTATTTTAAATGCTGTGGAAGTGACACGACAAAATCAATTAACACCACGCTGCAAAAAGATGTATCAGATCGTGACTGAATGGGGAAAGAAAACAGCTAAATTACAGCATACATTTGGAAATTTGCAAAAACGTTTGGCTTTGGCTGAGAAGGTGGCAAAAAAGTCAACATTCACTGACCTAATGGATGCAGTGAATGAAACCACATATAAATTTATTCTGCAACAAATCCGCACACAACAACTTCCACCAAAGGCCCGTCGCTTTTCCCTGGACGACAAAATATTGGCACTATCGTTGTTAAAGGCGAGTGGAAAAGGTTATCGGCTTCTCTCAAAAATATTTTGCCTTCCATCACGCCGAACCTTAACAAACTTATTAAATAAAGTACCGTATCGTCCAGGTATTAACAAACACATTGTAAATAGCCTCGAGAGTGTTGTTGCAAATTTATCAACGAACGAAAAATTATGCGCTGTGGTATTCGATGAAATGGCCATCTCTCCTTCATTGCACTATAACAGCAAATTAGATTGTATTGAGGGGGTCGCTGATTATGGAGGGAAACGGTATCCCCATCTCGCTGATTATGCTAATGTGTTCATGATTAAGGGTGTTTATCGACAGTGGAAACAACCCTTTTCATTTACTTTTTCGAATGGCCCTCTTTCCTCAACACAATTGAAGCAGCTGATTGAAGAAGTTATTACTGTATGTCAACAAGTTGGACTTAAAGTAGTGGCTACAATTTGTGATCAAGGATCAGCTAATCAAGCGGCAATTAATGCACTATTAAAAGATGCAAATGAGTATTTTTTACAAAAGGGAATGGAAAATCCTCATCTTGGTTTCTTCATTAATAATCAAGAAATTGTGCCTCTGTACGATGTGCCACATCTGTTTAAAGGCCTTAGAAATAACTTATTAACCAAAAACCTTCATTTTACCAAGAATGGTGTGGAGCAAGTAGCTACATGGAAACATATCGAATTACTGTACTTTTTGGATACGTATGATGATACACGATTATTGACAAAATCAACAGATGCTCATGTAATGGCCAATAAAATAAATAAAATGAAGGTGTCCAGCATGACGCAAGTATTTAGCTATGGTGTTGGGTCACATCTGCAACGCTTTGCTGGTTGGGGTAGGTACTCACTGTATGTGATCTGTGTTCATATACTTGCATCATATTGGCACGTTAACTGCAGCACTTAAATAACTTACACTGTGATTTATATCAATATCATTGGTACCATGTTGCATGAATTCAATATATTTTGCAACACTCATAAGTGAATGTGTATAACAGTTAACCTGTTAATAATAATGCTGAAGCAATATATGTTTATAAATAAACTTCTTTTGTAGATACACATACGGATTACTATGGAACGCCGTTTTACTTTTAAATACCTACGGAATTAAAAGATTAAAAAAAATAATTTTACATGAAATCATTATATCTAAGAGATAATATTAAATAATTACAAATATCTTAGATATTTAAAATGCTGTAGATGTATTACAATACGTTATAGATATTTCTAAAACAGTGATTTAAAAATATCAAACGATATTTTTAATTCATTTAAAAATATCAAATGATATTTTTAATTCATTTAAAAATATCAATCGATATTTTTAAATCCAAACATTTCTTTCTGACTATCATGTTTTAGGTAGTATTTGAGTTAACAAATAAATTTAATTTTCTTATTTCAAAACGACAAATATGTAAATATCTTAGATATGTTATAATGTAGTGATCTAATTTAAAATATCTTAGATATTGGTATTGAAGCGCATTTCAAATATCTTAGATATAGAAAATTACCGCCATCTGTCGGACTTCTAGTACAACTGTTAAGTTTAAAATGAATCTGACAACACTGCATTAGTGCATTCCAAGAGTTGTTATGTTTGTGCAGTTGCATATGTTGTATGTGAAGCTTGAAATTGAAACCTTGGAAGTGGAGAAGTTAGGTGTACGGTGTACGTGCAATTTTATTATTAATAGAGATTAGAGACAGTAAATAATATTTATTTTCTGTATGCTCGTGTAGTAAATTACAGTCATAATGGGTAAGTAGATAATTCATTATGAATAATGTCCTTTTCCTCAAAGTTCAGCCACGTTTTAAGTATTGTCTCAACTTTTAATCATTGTTATACAAATGGTTTCAAGAATTGTTTTTAATCTTTACCAATATCTCTACTTAAGTGTGGCTTAATTTGTAGTTGTACAAAAGGTCATGCATACAATAATTATAAATTTGTAACACCTGTTAATTAATTTTATTTTCAGAGAGAAATATCACAAGTAATTCTGTTGGAAGCATTCTGAGGGCAATCAACACAGTAGCCTACAACCCCACGCCAGAAGAGCAAACTTCATCATCACTTCAAAATTTATTAGCTGTCACACGACAATCATTCAGACCTAATCGTAGCCTTGAAACACCAAAACGTGGTAGAAAAAGTAGTAACACTTATAAAAGGAGGATATTTTTAATGAAGTTGGCTCACTGTGACTTCTTGCCAGCAATCCATGAGCAGAAGTTTTTAAATAAGAGAGGTTTAGGTAAGTAAATAGAAATTCAAAGGCACAGTCATTTGTGAAACTCTTTATCGACTGTTATTTATGGATTTGTCTTTATACAGGGTGTGTCACAAAAATTTGCACACTTAAAGAGGTTACAATCTATTTAATAAAAATATTGTAGTGTGTAGCATTTCTGCTTATGTAACTATATTACATGTGAACATCAACTTCGTTATCTTAAATAGAACACTCCATATGTTATTACATTTTTAGATTTCTTATGCAGAGAGATGCTTCTAACGTTTTGTTGAAACTTTTAAGATCAAATGTTATACAGAGATTATAAAGCGACTCAAATATGTGTTGATTCCTATTATTGCGCATTAAAAGCTTTAATTCATAGATAAACAAACATTACATTTTTTAAAAGATACATAGGGACTGTTATCTTAGATGTATTGTAGAATCCAAAACTGAAAAAATATACTGGGTGTTCTATTTTTAAAAATTGAGTAAACAAATTCTTTATAAATAAAAATTGTCAAGTCGCTGTATTTGGTCCCAAAATGTCAACAAAATACGTTAGACCCATCTTTTGATACTTGATACTTTGACATATGCCTGGCGTTGCCGCCTCCCCCAGAATTTAGTCAACTGTCATGGAGATGCGTCCCTGGTAGAAGCTAACAGGGGTGCATCTCCACCACTTTTGTTGCCATTGCGCTGGGTCGCGACATATGCCAAACAATGTGGTGGATTTTATGGATTGGGAAGGTTGTGGGGGGGCGGCTAACTGGGGTTTTGCCCGACCCGCAAGGGTACGGCCCCAGCTTCGCCACTGGTAATCTGCCTTAGTGGGAACTCTGCTTTCTGTCAGCCTCCTTACTTCCATCTCTTCATTAGTTTCCAATGTCTCCGTTCTCTGACATCGCTTCCTTCCCCCTGTTCTTACCTTCCCTTCACTATTGTTCTCCCTCGGCACTTTCTTCTGCCTCTTCCTCCTCCTCCTCCTCCTCTTGGCTGCTTGTGCTTATGTCTGATTCTTCCTCCACCTCCAGTATTCGTCTGCTTTCTTTCTTCATTTGGTGTTTGTCTCTGCTCCACTTCTCCCACTGTTCTATGTGTATCCCCAAAGCTGCCACTGTTTGGTCTATAGTGGTGTTCCACGTGAAGCAGGGCCGGCCTATCTTCCATTCCAAGGCACGTAGATTCTTGGCGAACTGCAGGATGTGGTCTTTGTGTTTGTAAAATTCCATTCAGTCCTGTTCATTATGTTGCTCAAGTAATTAGAACTGTTTTGCAACTGCTAGTCTGCAAACAGCATTTTTTTTATAATTTAATTAAATCAAAAACAGTAGATTTTAGACACATAATGTGATGTACAAAAGTATCTTAGAATTGCATATGGAATCTAAAAATGTAATAATATACTAGCTCAAGGAGCCAATTGAAATTATTTTGAATAATTTTCAAGCAAAATGAATTCAGTATTTCGTTATCTCGCGTTTTACATGCAAACATTCTTCTTGAAACTAATAAAATAGTTTTGACGTTTATCCAAATTGTTTTAGTTTAATGCCAAGTAATTTATGTTTACTTACTCTGTTTGAAACTATGGTTTATTTACATAGGACAAGCTGGGCCCATCTCAATAAAAAGAAGCTGGCCATCATCGCGTATTAAAGATGAGATTGTCCAAGCATTTCCTAACAGTATTAGGGATTTGCTAAGAATGTCTGATTTTACATTAGCTAAGTGTGATCGTCAGAAAATGCTGATTCATTTGGAGCTGCCGGAGAGGTTTAATGGTTTAGACCTTGAACTACAACTTGGGAATGGAATGCTGATACTTATTCCAAATCACGACTTTCCCAATAATCTGCCCATTCTTGAAAAGGAGAACCAGAGTCCTGTTAGTTTTAATGACTCAGAATATGATTCAGATTTTGAATTACCTTGTAAGTATTTTCTGTTTTATGTACCTATCTATAATACAAATAATATTAATTAGCTTCTAAAAGACCGAGCAGAGAAAGACGGTCTCTGATGCCTGATACTGCAGTTTCGAATTTAGAATTATCTCGTAAGTATTTCCTGTTTGATTTACCTGTCTATGATACAAAAAACGTTCATTAGCTTCTACAAGACCGAGCAGAGAAAGACGGTCTCACATACCTGCCACTGCAGTTTCGAATTTAGAATTATCTCGTAAGTATTTCCTGTTTGATTTACCTATCTATGATACAAAAAACGTTCATTAGCTTCTATAAGACCTAGCAGAGAAAGACAGTTTTTGATGTCTGCTACTACAGTGTCGGATATTAGTAATTTTTCTGGAGGTATCACTCTACCGGAAGCTTCGATCCTTCCAGTAGCTGGTTCATCATCTTCCTCCACATCACTTTTACAAGACGTTTTAGAAACAAGTAAGTATAAAATTTTGTTGTATATTTAACATTTCATTTTTGTAGCACATACAGAAGAGTGGACATATGATATTTTTACACAAAGTGAAGTTGTTTTTCCCACCTTGCAAGAGGATGCAGATACACAACTAGTTGATGTAAAACGGCAAGATGTCATTGACGTTATGTTCAGTATATACCAAAATGAAGGAATAGGTTGTAAGAAACTCTCCGTTCAATTCGTGGATGAAAAAGGCGTAGATGGTGGCGGCCTAACTGTCGAATTATTTACCATCTTTTGGAATGAAATTTTTGCATCTCATACTTATTTCAAAGGAAATGATGTCTTAGTACCATACATCCCCCTCCATAAACTGAGAAAGTTGAAAGGAGACTTTAAGATATTGGGCCGCATTCTAGGACACATGATGTTATTAACAGGCACCTTTCCTAATAAGCTGGCTATATATACTTTTACTGGTCTATCACTTAAAACTGAGGATTACAGCCAACATAAAAATATTCTTTTGCAAGACTTCTTGCTACTACTCACTATTGCAGAAAGAAAGTTGGTAAAAAAGGCATTACATAGTTTTACAGAATTGTCTGAAGCCGAAATTGGGAGACTCACCAGCCTGTTTTCTACTAATAATATGCTTGACATTCCTAGAGAATGTGATATTGAAGAGCAGATTATTACTATCGCTGAAAAAGTAATTATTAAAGACACAGCAGAATTATATGCTGAAATGCGAGTAGGCCTGCAACCCAGGATATTAGAATTTTTAAATAATGTCCCATTAGACGACATTATTCAAATTTGGTCGTCCAAACAACCAACCGCAGAAAAAGTTATGAATGTTTTGAAGCTTACAGTTGAACATCCTAACAACATTGAAGAACAAACTTTTTTTTACTTCCAAAACTATGTGGGATCGCTACCAATGCACCGATTATCCAAATTTTTATTATTTGCCACTGCTTCAATCCACATGCCTGAGGACATTTCTGTGTCATTCCATAATTATATTGGAGTTGCAAGGAGACCAATTGTGCACACCTGCAGTAGGAGCATTGAACTGGGTCTTGGATACGAGTCTCAGCAAAATTTTGACTCGGAAATGAATTTGTATTTGGATGACGTTACTTCATACGAATATGACCAAATGTAAATAGTAGTTCTCTTGTACCGTCAAAAGACTGTAACAACTCACAACTGCTGCACAGAATCATAATTCCTGACATACGCGAGCTAACATTGTCTTTTTTTACTACAACTCTTAGCAACATCTGATTTTATCTAAATTTAGTTCACAGATTTATTATATTAGTCAAAAACAATCCAATTTCAGGTTCCTATCTCGACAAGGTCCAAAGTTATAGAGAAAAATTTACTTAAAATTGTGATTTATGCACCGATTTCTTTGGAAAAGTGACCAAACGTTTTACCTTGATGCCGAAAACGATCAAACGGTTTATTTGACTATACAAAAGAACTCGTGTAGTTTGATCAAACGATCTCGAATCGATTTTTATGCAACATTTTCTTTAAAAATCAACCAAACGTTTTACTTCGATACTCAATGTATGGCTTTATCCCAATCTATGACTTAAAAACTTTTTTTCAAAAAATTCATAAATTGTGGTTGAAACACAGGTTGGAACCAAAAATTATGAAAATCCATCTATTATCAAAGTAAAATGTTAGGTTAATTTTTAAAGAAAATGTTGAATAAATAAAAATTTTAAGATTATATGCTCACCCCGCCCTCAAGATCACTCAATGTAGTACCCCTACTTACCCGCCAGAATTCGCACAATTTACAGCCAATTCAAAAAACGCGCCAATTCCAGGACTGCCTCCTAGCCCTCAAAATGGCCAACTTCATTACTCTGCTGTGCGCGCCAGATTGCACGCGTGTTTAGGTTAGGTAAAAAATTTTCTACTTTGTTGGTGAAAATGGGTCGTCGAAGGAAGCGTTCGCCTTCAGTTTCCGATTCCTCTGAAGATGAGGTTCGGTATCGTGTAAGGAAGTTGAGAGAAGCTTTTGAGCGCCGTGAGCGTCATCTTGCTCGTGCTAGAGATCACTTTAATTTCCCTGCGGAGCCCCCTTCTTCGTCGCTTGCTTCTGAAGCTGGGGCTGTAGAAGAGACGGCGGAGGGAAGTGAGTTTATTAGCTTATTGGTACATTTTATGTTTAAGATTAGTGGTTGACTCGGACCTCTTTTGAGGTTATTCATCGTTCGTTTAAAAAATTGTTGGTTTTTCAATTTGAATTGAGACTGTTGACTAAGGATTTGTATCCTTTTAGTTCCTGACCCGGTGGGCAGTGAAGGTCGAGAGGCAGTGGTGCCGCTAGACGATGGAATTCTGAAAATTCTGGGACGACAGGAGTCATCGAGCATTAACTCAGAAGTTATTCACCGAGATTTGGCTGAGATTTGGGGAAAAATCCTTCAATCTGGGTTAACCGAGGATGCTCGTTCAGCCATTATGGCAAAGTATCCTTTGATCTCAAATTGTCCCCTTTTGGAACCCCCAAAAGTGAACCGTGAGGTTAAAAACTCTGTCTCCGAAGCTACGTTGGCCCGAGACTCTCGATTGATGGCTATGCAGAGCAGAATTTGTTCAGCCCTCTCGGCATTAGGAAGTGCTATCAACATTCTTCTGATTGAAGATGAAGATACGAGTCGCCTGTTGGTGGAAAAGTGCAGTGATGCAGCTCGCCTGATCGCCGACCTTCATCATGAACAATCACAAGCCCGTCGAATGATCTTGAAAGGTGCTCTTAACAAGGACCTGGCTGCTACTTTAACTGAAGTCTCGGTGGATGGTTGGTTATTTGGCGATAACTTGAGTGATCGTATTAAGGCAGCAAAAGCCTTAGACAAGACTACGGTGGAATTACGTGCTCGTTCAGCTTCCAATCCAGTAGCTCCTCGGGCTGTGCCTTCGTTAAACTTCCGAGGTCCCCCTCGATTTGCAATGAAACAGCAGGCTCGTCAAGGTGGACCGCGTACCCAAGTTCAGAGCCTAAGATCGCAGATCAAGAAATCGTTGACAACCAGGTCTGCTCCGTCCTTCCGTCCTCAGCGGTTTCCTCCAGCATCTCGAGAGGAGCGTTTTCACCGGCCGTCGAGACGCCATTGAGGCCTCTAATTCAAAAGGCAGGTAGTCTTAATTTATATATTGACTTTTGGAAGTCTTTAACAAAGGATAACCTTTTATTGTCCTGGATTCAAGGCCTCAAAATTCCTTTTGTAAGCATTCCTGTTCAGCCTTATTTTCCCAGGGAGCCCTGTTGGTCTCCTAGGGAGAAATCTAGTTTGAATACTATTATTAAGGAAATGTTAGACTTTCAGGCTATTTCAGAATGTCACTCTTGTGAGGGACAGTTTCTGTCATCCTTTTTTCTGGTTCCCAAACCAGACGGTTCTCACCGATTCATTTTGAATTTAAAAATGCTTAATAAATATTTGGAGCCACCACATTTTAAACTGGAAAATTTTTCCCTAGTATCTAGTTTGTTGTGTCCTGGAGGTTACATGGCAACAATAGATTTAAAAAGCGCTTATTTTATGGTCCCGGTAGACCCGCTTTTTAAGAAATATTTACGATTTAGGTTCAATAATATTTTGTATGAATTTAATTGTATGCCTTTTGGCCTGGCAATTGCCCCGTGGGTATTTACAAAATTGATGAAACCTGTTGTGACCAAATTAAGATCTATGGGTTTTTTATCAATTGTTTATCTTGACGATTTTCTTGTATTTGGACAATCTCGTGAGTCTTGTGCAGAAAATGTTTTTCAGACTTGCCGTTTATTACAGAAATTAGGTTTCATTATTAATGAGAAGAAAAGCTTTTTTGAGCCTAGTACTCGTTGTACCTTTTTAGGTTTCGTAATTGATTCTATGTCAATGCGAATTGAAATTCCTGTTTCTAAACAAGATTCTATTTTAGTTTTGTTAGAGAAATTTACTACACGCTCTCATTGTAAGATTCGAAAATTTGCTGAACTATTAGGGAAATTGGTGTCTATTTGCCCAGCAACCAAGTATGGTTGGGTTTATACTAAACAACTTGAACGTGCTAAGTTTTTAGCCTTAAAATCTTGTAATGGCAACTTTGATGAATGGATGCACATTCCTCTTTGCGTTATTGAAGATTTGAATTGGTGGAGAAAAAAGATTCGAATTTCGTTTTGTCCTCTCAGAAACTTCCCTTCGGATACGGTTATTTTTACAGATGCTTCTAAGACCGGTTGGGGGGCAGTTTGTGGAAATGATAAGACTCATGGTCATTGGAATGATAAGCATAAAGTGAAACATATAAATTACCTAGAATTATTAGCTGTTTATTTAGGTATAAAACACTTTACCAAAGATTTGTCTAATCGTAATATCCTCTTGAGGATTGATAATACAACTGCGGTCTCTTATGTAAACAGAATGGGAGGGGTTCAGTTTCCTGAACTCAACAGTCTTGCCCGGTCTATCTGGCAGTGGTGTGAGAAACGTAATTTATGGGTTCTTGCATCTTACATCACTTCGGCAGATAACTGGGAGGCAGATTACGAATCTCGGCGGTTATCTGCAGAAACTGAATGGGTTTTATCTTCTGAGGCCTTTGTTAAGGTAGTGACAGCTTTTGGCTCTCCTGAAGTTGATTTATTTGCAAATAAAGACAACAAGAAATGCTCCTTTTACGTGAGTTGGCAGAGGGATCCTGCGGCTTTAGCCATTGATGCGTTTACTTTAGTCTGGTCAGATTATTTCTTTTACGCTTTCCCACCTTTTTCCTTAATTCCTCGGGTATTACGGAAAATCGTTGAGGACAAAGCCCAAGGGATTGTTATTGTGCCCTTCTGGCCAAGTCAGCCGTGGTATCCCTTGTTTTCTTCACTTTTGTGTAGTAAGCCTGTGGTTTTGGAACCAAATACTAATCTTTTGTCTTTTCTTAACAGGAGACACCCGCTAGAGCCCAAACTTTCCCTGGTGGCAGGACTGTTATCAGGGAGGCTTTTCTAAAGAGGGGTGTTCCAGAGTCAGCAGTTCGGATCCTGGTTTCGTCTATTACAACATCCACGTTGCGACAATATGAAGTTGCACTTAAAAAATGGTGGAACTTCTGTTCACAGAGATGTGTGGATCCCTTCACAAAGGACGTTTCGTCTATTACAACATCCACGTTGCGACAATATGAAGTTGCACTTAAAAAATGGTGGAACTTCTGTTCACAGAGATGTGTGGATCCCTTCACAAAGGACGTTTCCTTGGTTCTGGATTTTTTAGCTCTCCAGTTTGATCAAGGGATTGGTTATAGCACTATTTGCTCAGCTCGTTCTGCGCTATCTTTGCTTATTTCCCCTGAAGTGGGAGAAGATGCAAAAGTCAAGCGACTCATTAAAGGAGTTTTTAACTTAAGAGCTCCCGCTCCCAAATATAATTCGACATGGGACCCGGGACTTGTGTTACAATATTTGGGATCTCTTTACCCTAATAATGTTATTTCGATACAGTTATTGTCAGTTAAACTGATAACGTTATTAGCCTTGGTAACGGCTCACCGCTTACAGACCTTTTCGGTTATTCAAATTACTAACATAGAGCACAAGGCAGATGGAATAGAAATTAAGATTCCTGCTCGTATTAAGACCTCTTCGATAGGGAATTGTCAGCCAGCTTTATTTCTTCCGTTTTTTGTGGACAAACCTGAGGTGTGCGCTGCTTCTGCACTGGAGATGTATCTTAGTAGAACTAAACCTATTCGTGGAACACTGGACAAGCTATTTGTAAGTCTTCGCAAACCTTATAGAGAAATCTCTGCTCAGACGTTGAGTCGTTGGGTAAAGATTGGGCTGAAAAATAGTGGAATAGACACAGATAGCTTCTCTGCTTATAGTACTCGACATGCTGCAGTGTCGGCAGCGAACAGAAAAGGAGTTCATCTGGATGTGATTCGTAAAACTGCTGGGTGGTCGCAAGATTCTAACATGTTTGCCCGATTTTATAATCGACCATTGGCAAACCGTGGGGTTTTTGCCAGAGCCATATTAAAAACTTGTTAGTTTATTTATACTGTTATTTACACTCAGAATGTGTATTTGGTTTTCATGTATTGATTTTATTTCTTTCGAAATAAAGTGTTATTCAGTCGCAATGTACTTTAAACATCTACATTGAGTGATCTTGAGGGCGGGGTGAGCATATAATTATTAGATTAAACGAACTTACCTGTGAAGTTTGATCATAATTATATGACTCCCCCCGCCTGAAATGATCACTCCCTCCCTTCCCAATTATTGATTATCCCCTGATCATTTCTTTTGCGACTGATCGGGCTTTGAAGTAATGAAGTTGGCCATTTTGAGGGCTAGGAGGCAGTCCTGGAATTGGCGCGTTTTTTGAATTGGCTGTAAATTGTGCGAATTCTGGCGGGTAAGTAGGGGTACTACATTGAGTGATCATTTCAGGCGGGGCGAGTCATATAATTATGATCAAACTTCACAGGTAAGTTCGTTTAATCTAATAATTATTTGATCAAAACACACATGATCTTCAAACAGTAGCAAACTAAGAAATTTTTGCGTAAATAACGTTTGTTCAATGTATATGGATATCAGAAAATTTGAAAAACCTATCTCCTAGGCATCAAAATGGAACGTTTGGTTGTTTTCTCAAAGAAATCAGTGCATAAATAACAATTTTGAGTAAATTTTGCTCCATAACTTTTAAAAAAAAAGTTAAAAAAGACAGCGTCAAGACTTTGGTGGTGGTTAATTCTACCCTGTAGTGTAGATATAAAAATAACTCGACTACAGCCAGCCAAAGTGAGATATAAAGATCAGATATGAGCTCCCTTATCTACCCTCAAGCATCGCAACATAGTCATATTAACACTCGCCGAATTTGATTTGCATTTTTTTGTTAGAAATGTTTCCTCTGCAAGCTACCCTCCTTAAAATGTCCCCAAAAGAATTTAGTTTTTGAGACCAGAAGCTTTAAAAAATCCTCGCTGTTCGAATTTTTTAAAAGCATTCATAGTCTGTAATGAGTATCTGGGTCCGTTAACTTGGCCCCCCCACTGTTAGATTTGATAGTCGTATTATGTTAAAATGAATGCGCTCGTTATGCGCTCATATGCGCCACCGATAATAACTCTTGCGCCATTATGGTTTTTTAGAAATCCGGAAAAACATTTGGGGGGGGGCCAAGTGAACGTAGCCCCCCCCAGTACGTATTTTGTCGCATGTAACTAGGTAACCTGATACATTGGGTTATGCGCTCAATTGCGCCACTTCAATTAAAGCTTGCGCCATTACGGTTAAGCCGTGACAAATTTTCAAAAAGTGGGGGGGCCAACTGAACGTTTTTAAAAGTTACTTTTTTCTATCATCTTTCCATGCAAAATTGTACTCCTAGGTATGCGCTAAAATGCGCCGTAAAAAGATATCTTTGCGCCATTCTTGTTTTTTGGTTATCCTTAAATATATTTGGGGGGGGCCAAGTGAACGTAATCGTCCATAATACATTTTGCTACCGGTATCTATGCCACTCGACACATTTGGTTATGCGCTCAATTGCGCCACTTGAATTAAAGCTAGCGCCATCGCGGTTAAGCCATGACAAATTTTCAAAAAGTTGGGGGGGGCTAACTTAACGTTTTTAAAAGTTACTTTTTTCTATCATCTTTCCATACAAAATTGTACTCCTAGGTATGCGCTAAAATGCGCCGTAAAAAGATATCTTTGCGCTATTCTTGTTTTTTGGTTATCCTTATATATTTGGGAGCGGCCAAGTGAACGTAACCCCCCATAATGCATTTTGCTACCGATATCTATGCCACTAGACACATTTGGTAATGCGCTCAATTGCACCACTAGAATTAAAGCTACCGCCATCACGGTTAACCCATACCATTTTTTTTAAAGTGGGGGAGGCTAACTTAACGTTTTCAAAAGTTACCTTTTTTTAACATTTTTTTCCTACTGCATCGTACCTTTCATCATGCGCTAAAATGCGCCGTAAACAGAAATCTTTGCGCCCATATAGTCTTAGAAACACTTTGTCAATCATCAACTTTACTAACAAATTTCCTCGGAACTGAAAAATGTGCCCGATAGGTATTTTCGCACGATTCGGGCGTTGTGTGCGGGTGCGGAAGTAATCAGAATGTTCTGGTTTTCTTTACAACATGATAATAGCTCTTTAATTGCGCAATTTTTCCCGAATGCGACCATCGTCATCGTCGTATCTTTTATGGTTTCGGAGATCTCCGTGATCGTTATTTTGGACATAAACCCAACCAAATTGTCGTTCCGACGAAATTAGTGCCTAATTAAAAATTTGGGCGTAATCCCGAAGTGATTAAGCAAAAAAACCTGCTGCACTGTATGTAGTGACGAGTAATCAACGAGCTTTAAAGGACTTTCTTGTGCCGAGCCCGAGGTCTCATCCTTCACAGTGACGCGACAGACGGACGTAAAAACGTCCGCCATAGACTTTATGCGCATTTGCAATAGAAAATCCTTTTATTTTTCTTAATTAACTTCCTTTTTTATGGCAAATTGAGGAACCTTATGTTTCTACTATAACTACATCTAAGACAATGATGTTCAAAATATATAGTAAATATTTTTTATTGCAAAATACAAAAATTTCAACAATGTTTACTTAACTACTAAGTTGTATAAAGGATCATTACAATTCTCACTTCTTTTGCCGCTACAATATTTTCTTTCTTGTTTTTTAAATCATTGTACTCCTCCCATAGATTGTTTAATCGCTTACAGTAAGCAACGAAATGTCCTATTCCGGAACCATCCACAGTTCCAATGTACCCAATCGCACCTCGTAATATATAATTTACAGTGCAGCACGTAATGCGATTAGGTATATCTTTTAATTGACATGATATATCTAACCGTCTGTTTTTCGGGCACACTGGTTGTACAAAGACATAGCTATTTGATATGGTTATATTTTTTTTAATATAATTAGAACAAAGCCTACCATTAACTCGCGAAGTACATTTTTTATTAGTAGTAGTAGCATTGGCAATTTCATTATTTACATCGTCATGAAGATTACTTATATTATTAACTATATTTACAGGTAAAAATGCTTGAACTTCAATTTTGGAATATTTACACTTTGTACATTTAAATACGTGTTCTATGGAATTTAGGGACAATTTACCTAGCATGTCGTCAATTTCACAAACAGCATCAATTACATCAATATTTTGAGGATATTTTTTTCCTTTAAATATATTGCACAAAATCTCTACTCTAGTCTTATACGCCCGAACATTAATCCCCTTAGAAATTATATTCTCAACTAAGCTGTATAGCAATGAGTTTTCAATTGAACCCCTAACGAATTCCTTGAATTCTAGGCTATCACAATATGCACTACATAATATTTGTGTAATCGTATCAAAGCCACACGTATTGGAAAGGGTTACAAATTTTTCATTGTGTTTTATGGGTTTCAAATCAACCCTGTGTCCATTTTTTAAAAGCCCAATTGGAATCACCTTTCGCATGTCACTCCAATTCATACATAAAAATTCTGAATTGGGTTCTAAGTAGGAGCTCCGTTTTCTTTTAACGGGAATGTCTGCCAAGCCCCTCCAGTTTTCTATTGAGCGAGATTCTGCTCGTTTAGTTTTTTCGTTAGCATCTAAGGATCCACATGGAGTGCAAACGATTCTGTTGTCCCATGCCACAAAACATGTTTCACTTTGATGTATTGTCATTCCGCATAATACACAAAGTTGGCCTGAATTTGGAGGTATTTGAAGTTCGCACGAAGGACATGAAACAGAGTTGCTCGCTGCAATGTTGTAAGTTAAAATTAGTTTAAATTAAATGAAACTAAATCACAATTAAATTAAATTAAACTTGACTAAACTGATTTTATACTTGATCTCACAAAAATACAGAAATAACCATTCATGTAAGTATTCAACTCAATAACAACTAACATGTTACTACATTTGTATCTCTAAATTTCAGGTGCCACGCAGAGTGTTTTTCAGGTGATAAATTAGAACACACATATAATATCTCGATAACTAGCAAATGTAATTTGTTTAAATTTTCAGGAGTTTAAGTTTACGTATGGGGTCTGTGTGAAGGACGAAGTAGGTAATTGTACATTTTCACCGAACTGTTATGGAGGCATACTTTAGGCATTATCGGACTACAGGTAAAATTAGGTACATACGTTCTGGGATTTTTGAATAGTACAACGATCTATAATGTACACCTACTTTCTACAGAGTCACAATGTGTAGAGTGTAGTGGTATGGAAAAAAGTTATAATTTTCGAGATATTCCTAATTCACCAACTAAAATACACACTCTGCTTAATATTGTACCTAATTTTGTTTGTTATACCTTTTTCAGGTAGGTGATCACCTCGTGTTTTAATGGAGGTGGAAGCATAGGTATCTCCATTTTCAATTTCTCTGGATCCTGTAAATATAACAATTAACACACAACAGCACGAGCAATGATCTTGCTGAATATCGAAAAACATTTTTTTTAAATATTTACATTTACTCACCTGAGGTTACAATGTTACACCCTACAACGTCGAGACATCGGGATGAAACGTTTTCTTTTGTACCTTGCCATATAACGTTTTTAGTTTCGAGTGCTTAAATACAGACTAATAAAATCCTTAATTTTCTTTATTCCTATAACTACTTACGATTACTTTCGAGACTGCAAATTTTGGAAGGTGAAGTTGGAGGTATCATTTCCTGTTTCTGGCAGTTTTGCGGCTGTTCTTCATTGAAGTTAGATGCAAGTTTCATTACACCGTCTATTACATTTATATGAAATAATACAAATTGGTCTAGCCGAATGGGTAATTTCGTTTGCGAAAATATTCTGTGTTTAATGTCATTAAAGTTACTCTCTACGGCGGCACTACTGCCTATTAAAGGCGCTCCTGGATAGTATCTACACATTACACCCGTCCATAGTGGGATGATTTTTGATATTTTCATAAAATCATTTATGAAATCGGGTAAAACTTGTTGATTCCCGCGAATTCCAATCTGATTCGGTGACGATATTAGTACCTTGCATTTTTTGATAATACTAATAACCCACTTGCTGAATAATTGGTTTGTGTCTTCTGGAACTACAGATTCGTGAGTTTTGTGAACTGTGGCCTGCTAACAATACATATTTTTAGCTAACGATGGATATTATAAATACTTACTGCTTCAAAGTTTACAGTCACGTTTTCTTTCCAACCTGTCCCTATTCTGTTTTCTAGCCACGTTTTCATTACTTCACATGCCGTAGTTTCTCCCTGTTTATTACAGCCTTCCGTATCGCTCAGGCAAACAACAAATATTGCTTTTAACAAATTTTCTAGATCTTGTATGTCTGTACATTGAACAAGTTGGCCCAATGCTTTTAAGTAGAATACTTTCGTTCGTTTGTGAGTATTTTTAAAACAATTCCATCCCGTAAAAGACTTAATCACGTGAGCCACGTCGCATCGGATGTAACATTTTTCTTTACATTCGGCACTTTCAAAAAGAAGTCGCCATGCAAAATTTAAATAATCATTCAAAGTTTTGAAATTAGTAAACGCATTTACACAGGCGTATAGTAACGGTAGCGACATATCACAGCAAACTTGGTTAGGGCATGGAGCCCCACTAGCAGCCCAAAGTGCTAGCCATGAGTAAATGGACAGTGCAGTATTACTCTCGGAAAGCATGCTACTTACGGTGTATTGATGTTTATGATGCTTATCTCGGACTGTGACATCGTACAAAAAGATATGTTTTGATCGGTTTCCACATGGCTTTACTAGTTTTCGCACTACACTTCCGGTTGCATCAATTGCTATGGTGGAATAATTTTTTGCGCAATAGTTACGGTATACTGCAATTTGGCTATTGCTCCAGTAGTAAACAAAAAATGGCGTAAGCCCAATGGCTCGTATAATTCCATTATATGCTTGTTTTCCAGAAGCAATAAAAAGCGCCTTGACTGGATCTGCGTGCAGGAGGTTTTTCTTTTTTGCCTGATGTTTTGCAGCGCGCAGTGCGGTTAAATTTGGCAAATCTCTGGGTCCTTTTCCATAAAATTCTGTACTGGCCGCTTTTAATTTTCTATAAAGACTTGCACTCATGTTTTCATTTACCATAGCGGTAATCGCTTCTTTACGAAGGCCACCTGTTAAATGACGCCTTTTTAGCGACATATGTTTCGTGGTAAACGGCCCACTAAATATGAAATTCATTTCCACATATGGAGCATTAGGCATCGGTTCATATTCTATACAGCCTTTTAGCACCGAAGTACATTCCTTGCAGTAGCCATCAACTGTACAATAAGTGTTCCCGATCTTATAAATTTTTGCCCGTTTAAACACAATATGACATTGTAATTTTGTTATTAAGTAAAAGTATTTATAGAGCATGTGCGTCCAAGTTCCTTTCTTCAATATTGTGTACTCTCGGTCTGTTTGGTTAGGCTTATCTTTATCGTTACGTTTATAAACTTGCACTTCAGGTTTCATAAGGGCAAATTCCTTTTGCGAGAATAAAACGGTATAAACAATTTGTGCATCTTGACTGGCAAGTGATGGTGTTATAATTTCTAATTCGGACGAACTAAGTACCTTTGTTGGCGTTGATGTTGTATTTTTGATTTCTAATGATACATCTTCCCATAGTGAATGGTAATTTTTTATAAGAGCTGTGTATATAGCATTCGGACTCATCTTACCAACAAACTTATTCGAAATTTCCACCCATACCTTATTTTGTTTTCCAACGATCCTATTGTTAACGTAAACTTTTTCTTTATACTCATTAATCAAAGATTTTAGTTCTTGAATTTCTTCATAAGATTTTTTGCGACCCATGTTATTCACTAAAAATTAAGTTTTAATTAAAATTCGTCTGGGAGTCCAAGAAAGTACCAAAATTTGCAATTTTCTATCATTTGTTAGGTTGTTCGAGTACCTATGTCTATATAAAATCAATTTTTTAAAATTCGAAAATCCTTGACACTTGGTCGAACTAAAAAAGTTACACTAAAAATTACCACATTTGCATGAAATGTATGTGTCTAGGAACAAAATTGTTGTTAATGGTATCTATGTATAAAAAAGGCAAACAATTCGATACGAAAAAAAATCAATGTAGTGAAAGAGAATTAAATTGCGCAATGTAAACTAAATTCGTGTTTGATATATTTTTTATTTTATTTAACCATCAATTTATAAAAGAAAACATGGAAGTTTTAGTAATGCAGTGCGCATATTAGTTTTTAGCGTATTTTTCTTAAAGTGAAAAATCGCTATTGGCTGCACTTTGTCGTCCGTCCGTCCGTCACACGTATTACGCGACTGAACCGATTTGGGCGATATTAAGCTCATTTGAAAGGGCTTGGTACAAGGATTCCGTGCGTATCGATATTTTTCATTTTGCACATGCGCAGTATCAAAAATTTGGTCTAACGCATGTGCAATGCCAACTTTTTTGTTTATAATACGCTCTCGTTTGCATAATGACTTTAACTAATTATAATTGGTTTTTCACTCCTCCGCTCGATGCGTGTTAGCCTTAGCTCATAACCTTTTTTTTAAATTCAGATGAGAAACGCTTCGATTTTGTTTCCCAAACCCATATTGAGTATACACAGTAAATTTCGTGCAAATACGGTAATTTTCTTTGTCCATTTAGAAATACGGTGACCATGTTTTCTTATATTTTTTACAATTAACTTTGGATTTGGTATTCATGATAGTTTTGTTTTAACACCCAGTTTGACATGCTTGCCTATTATAACACCCTATGTAAATAATCTATTAACGAACAATTCCCCCTATTAAATGTATAGAATTTGGTTAATTATAATTATCTGATAAGTTAGATAGTTTAACCTCAGATGGTTTCATTCTTTCACAAAATTATAAGAGAAGGGAATCCTCAAATTATTTGCAAAAATTAAAATTAGATAAATGTTACATTCACTTAATTAGGTCAAAGAGTTACGGTGTACAGGTTGGGCCAAAAGTGTGTGGATAGAAGATTGTGGGTTTATTAAGGAACATTTTAAGAATTAGTGCCAAAAGTGTACAGAGATTATTTAGTACTGTTGGCTTACAAGGTAGGGTTGATGAAATACCAAGTAGTAATTAAAATTAAGACGAGTGCTATTTGTGTACAGGTCCTTACGCATCATTAACGAAGGAAGTAAGAGAAAAGTAACATCGCATAGTTTAGCATAGGTTTTGTGGACCCTGTGATATCCAGATTTTACAAGCATTGGCTTTTTGTAAAAGTAACGGCCGTTTGCAGCCAAACGCAAATAGTTATTTGTGTACCAAGGCCGTAAAAGTAATCTTTTTTGGCCGAAGCTGCTGTTTGTGGCCGAGGCGAAAGCCGATGCCGCAATTCAGATGAGGCCTAACAAATCACTTTTGGCCAAGGTGCACACAACATTTTTTAGGCGATCATCAAAAAAGAATTCAAAAATTTGCTCACAAACATATTTTTTCTGAAAATCATAGTTATCTTAGACAATTAAAAACAAAGCATTTCCTGTGGTATGTAATTATAATTAGCATCTTTGCGTGTGTTTTGTGCGTATCAAAATGGGTGATAGCGACAGTTCAGATACGCCAAATGAAATTTTGGAAGCTGCAAGCGTTGCGACCCTAAGTCATATATGATATAAGAGCAGGCGTTTGAGAGTAAAGGTACAATCGCAACTTCCTCCGAATAATGTCATAAGCAATATGTTCTTCGTAACTGGTGGCTTCCAAGACCTTATAGTTAACATGCTGTACAATTATTAGAATGATTACCTACTTTGATGGTAGGTATAGGTAGCTACTTGTGTTCTCGGTTAATTGCTGCAGATTCTTCGTATAATAATGTAAGCAATAACATCAGCTTCCTCATGTTTTGATTATACACTTCAAAAAGTTATGCAAGCAGCAAAGATTGAAACGTCAAACTATAATTTTAAATGTGAACATTGTGATTATGCAAAAACGGACGTGGATGGCCCAATCCTTGATGGGGCTAGACCAGATAGACGCTTTGTATCAAACAGATTACTGTTTCTCACACATCAGTTTCAAATAAGTACAGTTTGACAGATGTGTACAATAAAGTGAAACTTCATGGCCGCAAAAGCGACCAGAAAATCAACGTTTTTGTGATGATAGCCTAAAAAATCTATTTGTGTTATAATCACACTAAAATTTACCCAGGAATCCAATGCAGTAATGTACCGGAGATCCAGTTTAAAAAATACAACTTTTGTATGAATCACCCCTATATAAGCATTGCTATTCGAGCAAGAATATTTTTGGTTTCTAGTTCCACCATTTTCCAGCAACGAACTATGAATATGTTTTTAATAAACTCACAATCTTCCATCCACACACATTACTCCACCCTGTATATTATGAATGACTAAATTCCATTCATGACAACTTAATGAATTAAATAATTAAAGCAATATTAAACGATGGAAAAGAAAGATAAATGAAATAATTTTATAGTTAAAAATAGTGATCCTGATAAACTATAAGATAGCTTTTTTTGTAATTAATAATTTTTATTATTTATTGGTACTCAATTTCATTATAACCTATTTTTAAAAATACAGTAAAATATAAGTTAATAACTCACCTATAAAAGGCACTGACGTTTCTACTTCAAAAGCTCCGGCGCCAAAACAATTGCGGTACCCAATTTATAAAGATACAGTACCGGACAATCGTACAACAAAATGAACTTGTGATTTAAACGTCTTATTAAACAATTATTCAACAACTTTATTTAGTGTTTTTACAAAGTTTCGTAGATAACTCTAGCTTTACGAGCTTTTCTTGAGTATA